TTCACTGATGGAAGATAGCTCTTTAAAACTTCTTGTTATAGGAGTAGAGGATGGCAGATGTATTTCTTTCCCTTAAATCCTAAGAAGCTCTATACAAAAAAGCTCATGAGTCAGACTAGAATTTTTCAACCCTTTCCCAATCCCATTGCAAACAAAGACTAGGCTAGAGGTATCATTTCTTTAAATTGAAATAACCATTCTGCTTAAAACAGCGGAGCTAAACATGCACTTTACATCATATTTAATGTATTTTAATGATTTGTGATTCACTGGGCTCAAACAGATGGAAAATGCAAATTTGCTGATGGTTCTGTTACATATTACTGGTCATAAGAATAAGCAGACCCACCTTGGATCTGTAAGTTCTGGACTACGCTAACCACTGGGGTGTCTTGCTAGACGCACATCATCAGCAAGCCCCATCAAAGAGATGAGATCTGTGAAGCTCTTCCCGATAAGGATATAATCAGATGCACTGTAGCACTGCATGTTCCTGTTCTTGTGTTCCTGGAATTCTAGGTTACTAGATATGTCACCTCCTACATACAAGCAAGTGCTCCCATTAAGAAATGACATATACATCCACAGTTGCCCTCACCCTCCTACAAACACCTGTCTTTTCTTTTCTGCTTGCAGTTACATGGGATTTTTTGGAGGGGAGGGAAGGGGTTAAAAGAAAAACAACCTAATCACCACTCACACATTTGTCACCTTCCCCAAAATAGCTGTAGAATTTGAGCAGAGTATGCCATTTGCCTCCCTGACAGGTTAATCCGTTTATTATTCATCCGTTTAATGAAAATACTGTGTCCCCATGCTAAGAACAAAAAAAAACCTCCAACAACACCGATACTCTTTAAATCATATTCATAATCTAGTACAATTTGATTTTTCTTTGAATTCAGCTTTATTTTCTGAGCTATAAGTTAGAAATAGAAAACCTATTTTTTCAGATTTCACATTGTTGCCTCTGGCCACATTTATGGAATGTTTTCTGGGTTTTACAAAATTATTAGCATTTCATTACCTGCTTCTGCAACAGCCATGTATCTATTGAGAAAAAGTCACCCAAAGGTTAATGAACCTGATGCTTAGCCAAACTTCTCCTCTCCTGTGGGATGAGAATTTTCATGAAACTCTGCAAGGTTCATCTTCCAAAGTTTCCTGAACATGCCCCAGAAAGAGAATAGGTAGCAAGTCCCTGAGCAAATCTGTCCCCTTTTCACAGATCTCCGATGCTAGTAAGCTTTCTGCAAAAGCATGGAGCTTGAGGTTTCAAATGATAGCATTTCTAAAGAAAAACTACAGTAGTGTTTTGAGTCGGTCACAGACAAACTATTACTGCTTAGTTATAGAGAACAATTATATTCCCTTCCAATATTCAGTTCTTCCAGAAGATTCCCTATCTCCACTGGAAATACCTTTTCTGATCCATCACAGATTTCTCTTTTTTTCACAGACTCATCACATTAGAAGACAGGATACCAAAGTAGTATGCCTAGATCTTTCCTCTCCTCAGGCATTTTGAAATGATATACCTTAGGTATGGAAGAACTGTATACTGTTATGACATTGCATTTTGGACTATTGAATTTCATTCCATTCCTCTTATTTCCTCATTTCCATAACATATCTATCCTTTTCTGTATTAACAGTGCCTCCCAACTCTCGGCAGTCAGCATGTTCCCTTGTGTTGGGAAGAAAGTATTACTGAAAGTACCAAAAAGGATAAGTCTCATGACTAATACATGATTCTCTCTTCTGATACTTCCTTTAGCAGTACTGATGACTGTTGCTATGTTCTCTTTCTTAAAAGTTCCTTCAGGAAGCCCAATAGTTTTCTCTTTGGTGCCATAGCAGACATTTACTCTTATCAAGGAATGGCATCAGAGCAGTCCACCAGAATCTATTCTTAATGATCCTGTTTTATTATATTCCATTTTGCCTTTCTTAGGTGAAAATATGAGAGAAAAATCTGTCACCAGTTAGTGCATACATAGTTCAAACTTGCCTGAAACACCTCTGTGCAACCCGACTTTTCCTCGGGGGGGAAAAAAAAAACTGAGGTTAGATTTTGAATCTGATCTACTTCCAAGACGGTATAACTGCATGAACAAATTGCTGCAAAAGCATAGCTAGAGGACCACTGTTATTGCATTTATTTTGTGAAGGAAATACTCTTGCACCAAAGAGTATATTCAAAAGGAAATTAGAAAGAAACACGTAAAAGACAAGAGCAGTTGTTTTGGCATTGTTCTGTTTTGCATTACAGGCAAATCACTCCAACTAGAAAAGGGATGTTTTGTCTTTTACTCTTAGAGGAAGTGATTACAGCATTAAATGTCTGTAGGTGAACTAGAAATAGACCAAGGCTTGAGTTTAAGGGATATTAATTCAACTGAATGCCAAATCTGCTAGACTCTCTGATGTCTGGATTTCATTTACTGATAACCAGAGTTGCTAGTTTGAGTGAACTGTGATTTCCACCAACATCTGACACCCAGTTCAAGCAATGCCATTCCCAAAAGAAGGAGACTATTCTGTGATTAGGAGCTCATGATTAGGAGCTGGTGTCTCCCAAGTAGAAGAGGTATGGAGTGTAATAAAAGGCATTTTCTAAAAAAACACCAAACTAATTATAAGGGAAATTTTTAATGGAACTATATTGTTTTCAAAGAAAAAAAAAAAACAGATGTTTTTCCTTCCCTACAGAAACTTCTGATCAACACTAGAAAAAGGCTGGACAAGCCAAGAATACCTAGAAGTCAAGAGATCTGTGGTGTGCCTCATTGGACCAGGGATGTTAACCTGTTCTCTCCTATGTCCCGTAAGTGTCCTGCCCAATTAGTTACTAGTTATTCTTGGCTCCGGGAAAAGTGTCCCTCTTCACCTTTCCTCTGAAATGTCCTGGTTTCACTCTAGTCCAAAACATGAAAAAAAAAAAATTGGGGTGGGAAAAGAGTTCCTTCTCCCGCTCCGTTACCAAATTCTTATGTCAGCACTTGCCTCCCCTGGGGGCCTTCAGCAAGTGCCACCCTCTCCACAGTTTCCCCAACTGCAATATGAGATAATAGCTCACAGAACTACTGAAGCTTAATTGGTTTTTGAAACACATCTTGAAATGAACAGTACTTGCAGACGTGTTATTCTTAGGGCCAGGACTGAGGCCTAACAGGGCTTTGACCAGGTTGAAGCCTCAGTGCAACATGACAGTACACGTGCAAGAATCAAAGAAACACTCGGGCTGGAAGGATCCTCGCGACATCTCTAGTCCAATCTCCTGCTCAAAGCAGGCTCAGCTGTGAGACTGGACCAGGTTGCTCAGGGCTTTATCCAGTCAGGTCTTGAAAACCTCCAACGATGGAGCCTGCACAACCCCTATGGCCAAACCAGACGGAGACTGCACAACCTCCCTCACCAGAATGTATATTTTAAAATATTTATTGTCTAAGTGCTGCCTCAGAACAGCAGTATTTATAGGCCTGAATATTCCACTCTTTTTAAGTCAGCAACCATTCCTACTTATCTGTCTTCACAGAAGTCATCACCATGGTATCCAAGCACCTGGACAATTACCTAAGGGAATTTACAATATGGAAATTGCCAGGCAGTTCCCAGCACAGTTCAGAGGACTCGAAGGTAACGCAATGCCTCATACAGCTGCAGGCTTCCAGCAAGCCCATTGCTAAGGGCACTCAGTTATTTCAGTCTAAATCCGAGTGACTCAGCTTCGGCGTAGAAACCTTAGGCTGCCCGCCTGCAGCAAACTCAGATGACAGAGCCTGCCAGTGGATAAGGCGCTCAGATATCATAATGAGTAGTGCATAAATACATCAAGGGGTAGGCAGAGAGATGAGGCAGATCATAAACAAAGTAGACATTCTTAAAAATAGCAACTATTTTTGAGAGACTGAAATTACATTTGAAAATGGAGTGATCTGCACTTATTTCTTTATCTATCCCTTTAAGTATACAAACTTCAGAAGGCCACCACTACTTTTTTAACTGAGCAAAAGTAATGTAATGAACCTGTGCCAGTGTCTTTGTTTTGGTGGACTGCATGCCCTTAGTGGAATTGTTTAACTTAGCTGTAACCTAACTTAATTTCCTGGTTACCCTCATCAAATTTCCTCAAGCTTTCAGAGTACTGACTGTATTTAAATAGCAGATTCGAGGTATTAATACTTCAGAGCAAATAGCAGTTAGACGACGAACAACATCTTTTCTTTTCTTGGCACTGCTAATAGGCAAGCAAGCAACAAGGTATTTTAGTTTGCTGTGTCCCTCAGACTGCCAGGCTAAAATCAAAATACCTGTTGTGAAAAGACATATATTTTTCTCACAATTTCAAAGAGAAGTTCAAATTTCCCACTGAGCTTAGGCAAAGAAATCAGTATTCATTCATTTTCACATTATACCATGCACTGCTATACAATTTGGTATGCAAAATGGGAGCTGCGAAAGGGGATGTCAATAGTGAAATAGCCTTACATAGATCTGCTTTGCAAGACCAGCACTTAACGCAGCAGAGAGCTCAAGGACTTGCTGACCTTGGGTATATTATTGGCCAATTGTTCCACAAGGAAAGGACATTAGATTGCGTGGACCCAGTAGGCCAGGCAAACGCTTAACGACAGGCATGGAAATACCTATATTATTTTCTTGAGACCTATAACATCTACAGTTCATAACATCTGTTTACAAGATTTGTTTGAAATATTAATAAGTCACGTTAAGTCTGGATGTTAGAACATGCAAGTTTATGAGGCCTGCGTACTGGCATATTAATTAAGGTCTGTGGTTCACAGTAGAAAATAAGATATACACAAATGAATTTATATATTTTGGTTTTTCATTGTAGGAGTTTCTGCTCGTAATTGAAAGCTGCAGAAGGGAACAGCTATCACTTAGCAATAGGTTTTTTAAGTTGTGCTTTCAAAAATATATCGATGACTGAGTAAGCATTTAAATGTTAAGAGAGATCAGGAATGAGAACTTACCTAGCTCCCAGTCAGAATATGCTCTGCAAAGTAGAAACATCTATTTGAATAAAAAGAGTTTGTGTTTTCCGCACAGAACTTTTGTGAAGTTCAGATGAAAAGTACATATTGCCACCTGCTGACAAAATGGAAGGTAGCAACACGAGTTAGAAAAAGAAGCACTTGTAGTAAAATCCAGGGACTACTGAAAATCAGTGGGAATTTTGCCATTAACTTCAACAGACTCTGGATGTCACTTTTGCTTTTAATTTGCCTACCTAAACTAGGAGTCATATTAACAAAATGCCAGAGCTGTATACTTTAGCTGTTGAAGAAAACAGCAGACAAAGAAATATATTCAACCAGCAGATCTCAAGTTTTGCCACCTTCAGCTTATGTGGTCCTGTTAACCAGGTGACAGGGAACGGCCAGTAAATGGTGGTGTGAGGGACCCATATGGGGTCATCGGTGGGGACAGCCCGCAGTGCGAGGCTCCAGTTGGAGGGTGCACTGCTGTTCAGCATCAGACTAGCGTGATGCCTCCCCAAGGCACAGCGCAGTGAGGAGGGCTGCAAACACGCCAGGTACGGCCTGCGCTGCTGGGAAATGCGTGGGAAACACCAGCATGACCTGCACGCCCAGTGCAGGGAAGTCACAAATGCAAGGCAGGACTTGAATTTCAACAGTGATCGTTTTCACAATGGTGAGCTTTCACCTCTAATATAGGACATGAAAAGGATGTGAACTGTACCTGTAAGGGACAGAGCAGCAGTGGAACCATTGTAGGGGGTGAAAGATGTCACAGAACAGCACGGATATTTATGGCCTGGTCTTATACAGAAACAAGCTAAAGGGAACCCCCTCTGAAAGCATGTCCCTAATAATTTCTGAACCTACACGCTCATTCCAGTCAAAGCTGACAAAGGAAGAGTCTCAAAGACAGGGAGTTCCTAGAACTTCTCTGAAAATAAATGACAAGGGAAGGGAGAGGGGGATCCTGTTAGTATTATAAAAGGGGGGATGCAGCATATCAGCCCATATTAGCTATGAGAAAATCCACAGGGAAGAGGGACCTCCTGTGGCTTTGGCCACAGAAGCTTCAAATCAGAGCCCACATCTTAAACATCAAAGATAATCAATTTCTGGATAAATCTATAGGAAAGCAGAATACATCTGAATAGCTCATGAGAACAACTTCTTACTTTACCAGGAGCATCAGGCAATTGCTACTTAGTGCTGCTAATTCCTTTCCATACGGACAAAACAGAATAACGAAAATGAGATCAAAATCAATGGAGATACTTACTTTACTTTCTTTTTGAGATATAATAGTCTCTTTCAATCCAACATGCAAGGTATGTACTGCTAGAGACATGACAAAATATAAATCCAAGCACTAAGTTTCGAAATGTTCTTTTTTCAGACTTTGGAAATACATTTTTCATTCAGAGTTGAAATAAAAGCAAAACGTCACAGTTTTCCACAAACCTGAAACTCCAGCCTGCTGCAATCAGCGGTTATTGCAAGAGTCCACTGGGCACAGGATCTGGGCCTTAAGAGTTTGTATGGCACCTAGCACAACTCCCCCTCTAAGTTAGAATGGGTCTGGAGAGATACTATTTTTGTATGGCCCTACAAGCTCTTGCACGGACTAGTGTTAATTATATCCTTAGCACCTAACCCCTCCTTAAACTATGCTGCAGGAACTATGCTGAACTTTTAACTGTCTTAAGGAGCTTCTGCCATTCTCCCAGCTCTCAGCCATATCTCCATACCCTTGTGCCTGCAGCACAATGAAATTTTGCCTTTTGTAGGTCCATACGGTAATTCAAATCAATAAACTGTTACAGGCCTTTTTTCTGCAGAGAAGGAAGATATTTTAAACGTGGCTCAGTTCAGTGATTTGGCATACAGCAAAGCCCCACTAACAGTTATACGATCACAGATAAAGCAGTGGTGCAGAGGTAGAAACAAATAACCTGAACTAGCAGAAACTCCTTAAAATCCTTAAGCTTGCTTCACTGCCAAAGTCAGAATATCATGAAACCACGGGATCAGAAATTTGTGGCCACAGTCTAATAATCTGGAGCATCACCACCAGGTTTGCCCTGCACTTCAATTGGGAGTGCAGAGAGGTGAAGACTATTAATAAATTATTTCAGTAAAATGCTTTAAGACTGTATATTGAAAGGTAAATTGGATCAAGTTCACATCTGCTATACAAAAAATAAATACATCTCAATACAAAAAAAAAAAAATCTCAAAACATAAAATACACATCTCAAATCAAAAAGGAGAGTGAATTAGGCATTGCTATGCCATCTGTTTTACATGCATGCTGAGCAAAATCAGGAGTTTCCAAACTGTCAGAAAACAGTTTATTCTTGTGAAGAAGTGTTACTGCAGTAATAGTCCAAGTGAAAGTACTTTCCTGTGCTCCACACACAAGTATATGTTCTGAACCTGCACGTTTCCCAATGCCAGCTTGTTTGTGTTCATAACCTTTAAGCAAGTTATTTGCTTTGGATAGGTATGTGCTAGTCATTCACTCTTCCCTCCTGGTTCCTCCTGTCCCCACAGCCAACTGACTTACCACCCACCAAAGCTGCTGATGCTTGTCTCAGAGTTCCCATTTTGCAGCGAGTGCCACACAAGTCCCAAACTGGCCATTACATGTTTTTTTGATGAGGGCCTAAAAATTCTGCCCACTTCAGAGAATGTAGCCAAAAAGCACAAGTCACACATCACCGTGCAAACAGAGCACTTTGTCTTATAGGTCAATTTTGGGCCCAGAAAGGCTGAATGAGCTCTGTGGTAGGACGGTTTTGACTTCCACAGAGTTTCTTCCAGACGTTCCCTCCTAGGCAGCACCCTCCTGAGCGCTGGATTAGTACATGTCTACATGTACTACATGAACGTGCTACATGTTACAGGGAACATGGGAACACTTTCCTCAGTAACAAACCTAAGTTTTCTGGCTTGAATATTCAGGCTAAAGGAGTGAACATGCCCCTTTATATAAATACCAGAGAGTTTCTTTCTCTGTGAACCTAAGAAAATAGGTTTCTACATACTTAGCTTTTGAGCTATACAAGTGTCACTAAGGGCAGGCTTTGATTCAGTGTGTCTTGGAGAAGGCATAAGGAAAAAACATAAGGGAACTGTCATCCTGGGAAAATGTGACGATTATCATGGATCAGAAGAAATGGAATTATATTATTCTTTTTTGGAAAAATAGGATATTACAATGAAAAAAGATACATCAGATCTAAGCATACACTTTGGCAGCAGAAATAAACAGGTTTATAATAAATAGACGAGTAAACATAGTCATTATAGAAAGTAGTATACCTAAACTGTTTCATGTTTGTTACCTTATGTCAAACCGAAGGAACTGTGAAGGGAGGGTTACATGAGAGAGCATAACGAAATAAACAATTGCAAAGTTTTAATGAGTTTTGCAGTCCTTTAAAAAACATGAAAGACCACTGGAGATTTGACAATGAACAAAGGCAAGATAGAAAAGGAAATCAGGTGCATGTTAGTGGAGATAAGAGCAGCATGCAGCCAAATGCCACACACACGACTGAAACTTTGACTTCATTATATTTAGACCTTGAAGAGAAACTTTGCTCCTTTGCACTATCACAATATGAAGCCTAAAAGTAAAATTGTGTTGTGAGACTCTAAATAGATTGTGCCTTCCTGGCAATTTTAATTAGTATGCTTCTGTTTATACAAATGTGTCTATGGGGAGCTGCTTTTGGAGAATGGAAAATAAGCCTGGATGAATACATTGAATATTTTTAGCATCCATAATTTAAGATTCCTTTGTCTGCCCATGAGCAAAAGGATCCATAAAAAGCATAAAATTAATATTTTAAAATTATCCCAAATCCCTGGTCATTTAATGTACTATTTACATTTTCCTAGCTTGCTCATACGCTAGTGCAAATAACCATCTCAAATAGCAACACAATTACACAGAGCAGTATTTCAATAAAATATAATTGCGAGAACAAAGTTCTAAGTGCAGTTAAACTTAGAATTGAAAAAGAGAGGAAAAAAGAGAGAAAGAGAGAGAGAGAGAAAAGAGAGAAAGCAGCAGGAAAAAACAGGAAGGCAGGAAGGAAGGAAGTAGCTTTGAAATATTAAGTCAAAAGTCTCTCTCTTTGCTATTTTGAGACAGGAGAGAATTTCAAAATAGCTGTAGACAGGAAACAGCTGTGGGAGGGTCTCCCCCTCACCATTTACTCAGACCGTGTTAATATCAGAGGAGTAATCTATAATACACTTCCTAGGATGTATAGATCTAGATGTTTCTAGATCCCAGGAGGATCTAGAAATATTTTCACCTACTCCAGAGGCTTGGATTACTTGTCTAATAAGTTATTTTAATTTGTCCCCCAGGCAAAGTGAGAAATTTGGCATACGGTAAATCTGTCCTTCCCTCCTCTGCTATGTATAAGGTAAAATCCCACTTTGATTTAGATGCTGTACTCTACTACTAAAATTAATGGAACTGCAGCAGGATGAGCCAAGGTATAATCTACCTCTGTATATGTTTCTTAGGCATGGTTGATTTCACAAACTTTCAGTACTACCAGCTTTTACTGAGTTCTGAAAGTTCATGTGCCTCTCTCCTCACTTGAGTTATTTTATTGCAGGCTTGTAAAGAAAGTTCTGTTATGCTGTATAGGATTTTAGTTTATAGAGAGTGTGCGTACATCTTATTTGTGACGATCGTGCCTCTTCAGACTCTTTTCATTAAGCAATAAATCATGAAACTGTATCTCAAGGATACTCATAATTTTGGCTGAAACAAGCAAGTACCTAAAGATATCTTTATTAAATGGCCAAAAAACTTTCCAGATCTTGCCAAGGAGATTTTTGTGTTAGTTTTTAAATAAAATTGATTTTAGTAGCCACTCAGCATTCAAGGCTGAATAAACCCCCTGAGCTTATGCCATGAGAGGCACACAAGCGGGGGTACAGAGATTTGTTCTGTTCACATGAATAGAGAGAGAGTGGGACAGCCTAACAGATTTGCTTG